GATAAATTACCTCTTGTACTTCTTGGAATACGTTCGACAATAAAACAAGATATCAAATGTTGTCCAGCAGAATTAGTTTATGGAACTACTTTACGACTACCTGGAGAATATTTCAACCCAGCCACTGAAGTTCCAACTGACGAAACTACTTTTGTACAACAACTGAGACAACATATGAGCCTTTTAAGATATCACCCACCGCGACATCAGCTCAACCAAGCATACATGCCTGAAAAACTAGAAAATTGCACGCATGTTTTCATACGACACGACGGTGTAAGGAAACCACTTCAACCACCTTATGACGGACCATTCAAAGTAATAAGCAGAACAAGCAAAATCATCACTGTCGAACGCGGAGGAAAACACGAGATTGTAAGCATCGATCGAGTAAAACCAGCTTTCATGGAAATGGAGGTGACTGAATGTTTACCCAAGTCATCAACATCACCTAAAATTACGCCACAAAATGATTCCTGCTCTCAAGATTCAAATTCTGATGATATTCCGTCTAACAAAACAGAAAGAATCACAAGATCAGGTAGACGAGTACATTGGCCACAAAGATTTGTACAGACAATTTATTTCTAATTCATTTCCATACTACCTTATTACGGTACTATTAACTGTATGTAAGATATAAATCTATTCTGTAACTCTTTACAATAACAACCCCATTATTATTCTAATAATTTTTCTGGTTTTATTGTTACATTTTGCACAACTTTCTAAACATTTTGGTTCGTTTCGAAGCTGTTAACATTTTTGCATATATACAGTTATATTATCAAACCTCAAAAACTTAAAATCCTCAATTCGGTTTTCATACCAGAAACTCGTATATATTTTTTCTGTAATTGTAATTTACAATATCATTCCGAAAACAGGTAAACTTCATTTACCTGCATTCTAAGGAGGGGCTATTGTAGTGACCCGTTTTATTACTCATCATCGCAGTATACCTTCACTATGTAATTGTACTTTGATTTGTTTATTACTCTAAATCTTGCATGTTAACAATTGATACTTTTTGTACTCGCTCGATTTTTGAATTTTGATTGCTGCAATAATACACTGCCGTATTCCTTCGCAAGTGCCTTTTGAATTACGTTGTGGATATCGAGTAATCGCAACGTTAGGACACAAATATAAACGCGAGGAAGTACTAGAATATACGTGTATTCTAGTTCAGTCAAAATACAGTAGCAGCAACAAAGTCTCCCGAAAACGGTATGCTTCTGTACATTTTACATTTCTGAGTGAGGCGTCAGATATTCGTATGGAAACGCCCTGATTTATGTACACAGAAGAAACTTCTCCATCTACTCCTTGAGTATACCTTCAGTATAATTTCGACTGTTCAATGGTTATCAATATTTTCTTATTAATACTATTTCTGCATTTTTAAGCATGGGATGCATTATCAATATTATTATTGTAAAAATTATGTTTACTCAACCTTCAATCTGCCTTGAAAAATTTCAGTGACCCTAAACAGGTCTCATATAACATAGGGTAGTTGTACTTTAGGTGCTGCTGCTGTTCTACACCATAACATTGTTTCTTGCCTAGACAAAGCAGCTAAATATGCTCGATTCTCTTTCCTCGACTATACATCCGCTTTCAACTCTCTACCCAGATGTCTTTTGTTCAATAGGCTTTTCATGACAGAGACTGAGTCCTGGACTGTTAACTGCATTGTTGTACTCTTATTTCTCAGACAAAATTCAGTAAAGTTTATCTGAAGGTGAACCTTCCTCTGTCGTCCTTGTATACTGAAGCCTCAAGGTGTCCCTCGAATTACTGTCCTTCTCCTCTTACTTCTTTCCTTCTACGTGGTCTGCCCCTTTCGAAAGAAATCGATTCTGTTAAATATGCTGAGGATCCTACTGTCTCCTTGTCAATCACTTCGCGAGCTGACTCTTCAAAACTGAATAGTTTTCTGTTCGACATTGGCCAATTGGCTAAGCTTAATAGTCTTAAGTTAAATGAATCCTTCCAAATGTCAGGCAGTTAACTTCACCTACAGGAATCCATATGATCTCGATGAAGTCATTAGTTCACACGATACTTGTAGCTTAGAAATCACTGAAATAGTATAGAGAATAAGTCAGGCATAAAATACCCTTCCACAGTTCACTTCAATCCTCTCACATTTCTTGGTAGGTCATCCCATATCCCGTCTAACCACCTTCTATACTATGAAGTCAAGATGATATGGAATTACTCAACCTTTGATTGGACAATTTGCTAACTCTTGCATCTTACCTATTATTCTTCACTGCTCCCCACGCTTAATCTTCCCTGGACTACTCAAAAAGGACTATAACATATTGCGAAGGGTATTAAAGGGTGTCAGTAGAGGAAGTAGTGTGTAGTGCCACCACTAAGTCAGCTCAAAACTACTGTAGTCGACAGACACCTAAACAGCTGATGTGAGAAATGGTCTAAATGCGTATTGTCTGACTCTCACTACCCTCTCTGCTGAATCTCATCTGATAGGATTAGAATTCATCATAAAAGATGACACATCCACTAGCATAAAGAAGTACAAAATGTCAGTGGTACCCTATTTGGCCTGCTCACTCGCTCACCCGTGTTCAAAGTGATAAAGGTAGTGTTGAAGCACACAATCACACATAGAGATATTGATATAATTCCGAGTGTACATCTGAGTTAAGTGGATTTGCCGAAAATCGACTCTTCGCTGGACTGCTTGCTCTTATTTCCGGAAAGCTGTAGCAATAATCTTTAGGGAACAACCTGAGCCTTGTGTTCACGCACATATTATCCAGTATCTCTTACTATGGATTTAATGTCATTTACATATTTTCGATTTGTTGCGTAATAAACTCTGTGTAAAGGTATTTTGTGACTAAATTTCAATTCTTTGTTCACTTTTTTTCTGTGAGTGAGTTACTTCCAGGTAAGTAGTCATCATTTCATAGCTGTTTAGTCGTACATACCTACAAATAAATTACAATGAACAATAACAATAAATTTTCTCTTGTGTGTGTGTATATTACAAACACCGCAAAAACACAAAATAACAGTGAAGGCAGAACGATTCTCACTTTAATGATATGATGTCTCCTCCTGAAGCATTTTGTTGCAGATGAACTCAAACTTATCAGCAATGGCGCATTAGCAATAAAACATAAGCTAGCAAAGAAGATGCCAGGCTGTGAAAAGGTAATATCCTACTTCAGTTTGTGAAAGTCGAGTGAGTTTATTGATAAGTCTTCGTACAGGAAGACCATAAGTCATATTATTATATGTGTAAAGCTTGGGCACTGTGGTAGTAAGTAATTCCATATTAGTTTGTTTATCAGATATATCCCACAGTGAAATAGTATTAGTATTTACTGGATGACGTTTCGAACAAAATTTATTGTTCATAATCATATCAACTGTAATCACACGACTTTGAGACTTGAGTTTTTTATTACAATCTCGTCTTCACCAAAGAGTATAGTAAAACAGAAGTGACGAATTGTCATAATCATAGCTGTTAGTTGATATTAGTCAGTGCTTAAGAGAAGTTGAGTAATACTATCCCGAATGATCTCAGAAAGGCGACAGTGGCTCTACAACACCATCTTCAGGGTAATGTACCAAATGAAAAAATAACCTACCAAAGACAGGTAGTATGCTTTGTTGAACCTGTAGCTATTCAGATAAGAAAACTGAAGCTATGCATACAAAAGAAAATTATTTGACCACTCCTACTTCCAAAAGTCTTGTAACGATCGTGTTGATTTCTGCTGACTCGATTTTATTTCTGTTTGACCCTAACTCATGTATTTCTCTAGAACTCTTACGTCATTCCATATTTTCCTTCCTTTCTATGTGCATTCTGATAACAACTCATTCATTCTTCAGTCTACACCCATCAAATGATTCATCTTATCACGGAACTCTAATACACTTATTCAACTCCTATTATGCAATGACTGGCATTAACTAACAATTATGTTTGTGACAATTCATCACTTTATGGATCAGAGACTTGGCGCATCATGGAGAGCACCTCAAACAAACTACAGACCTTCATCAACAGCTGTCTTCGCTCAGTACTCCGCTGTAGATCAGATGGTCGGAAAATATCAGCAACAGGGATCTATGGGAGCGAACCAACCCAGCAGGAACCGATTGTGCAACAAATAAGCAGGAAGAAATGGAGGTGGATTGGATTGGCCATTCTTTGAGAAAACCATCAAGTGACATCACACGCTAGGACATTGCTCGAGTGGAACCCGAACGGGAAGCGGCGAGTTGGTCGTCAGCTTGAGGCTGACATGGAGGAGGTCATGTGAAGAGGAGATGAAAGCATGTGGGCAGACGTGGAGTCAGGAGAAAACGCTGTCAGAGAACCGAACGCAATAGAGACGTGCGGCTGAGATCCTATGTTCCTATAGGAACTAAAGGGAACAATAATATAAAATAATAATATACTCTTACCACCCTCATTCATGGAAAAATAACTGTATGTTAATTTGCTTGCATAGCTCGACAGGAAACATAGAAATTCGTTGATCACAGCCTCTTCAGTGAGTAGTATACAGATTTGTAGTGAGAAGTTGGGCAAAATAATCTCTTTTTGTTAACTTGTGCATTCCGTATTCTTAAATCACATCACATCACATCACAAGGGGGAGGCCTACTGCTGTTATTATTCATGATAATCTCAACCTTACCTACTTGGTTGAGTCAGCTAACTGAGTCAAGAAACTTCACATTCTATGACGAAAATGAACAAAATGAAGAATATTTCACAATTTTGATAAGGAAAAAGTACAATTTGTTAAGAATGTGACTAGTGAAGAAACACTGACTGATAATGATGATGATGTTGATGATTTGTCTAAGCAGTAAAACAAAAGAAAGAAAGAACACAGTCGAGGCATCTTCTTCTCCTCCTCCTCCCCACTCTGATTACCATTCTCACTACGTAATCGATTGTTTGATTATTTTACAGTAAACTAGTGAATGACGAGATTTTATTTTCTCCAAATATCAACTTTCACTTCTACAGACTTATTGCTTAACTTCTCCTTTGGTAGGTAAAGAGATAGAATATTCCCTGTCATATTTTTCATTATGTAATCTGGATGTAGACTCAGCATAAATCCATTAGGATAATGAACAGATTGTGGTATGTAAATCTCTGCAATCAACACGACTTGTTCATCAACACTTCGATTAGATGGTATTTCAGCAACGTCGGATTGGTGGAGTGTAGAAAAACAAAAATGAAAATCTCCCGTCTTATGATTGAAACGAAGTTTCTTCAGTTCACCACTTGTTGATTGAGGATAAGGTCGAATGAAAGATTTCACCTGAAAAATAAAAATGGGATAATGAGACAAAAACAAACACACACACACACAAAAGACCATTGGTTGACTAACAGTATTTTGTCCACGCCAAGTAAAGTAGTAAGTTGCATCATACTGGAGAGAATAAAGCATGCACTGGATACAGAAATCCGCCAGCCACACCGGAACTAGCTCGCTGGATTCAGGAAAGACAAATCATGTGCTGATCAAATTGCAGCTTTACACATCATCATCACAGAACAAAGCATAGAATGGTAGTCAAACCTCACTCTACCACATATTCATCGACTTCGGAAAGGTATTTGACAGACAGTGTTGACTGAGAAGGTATTTGGAAGCTACATTAACATTATGGCGGACAGTGACCAAGTCTTTATCAACCTCATTCAACAGCTGGCTATACGATGATGATATCACGTGTCAGATGATCCACAACAGGAAACTCTGAGAGGTGTTCGAAGTGAATACAGCTGTAAGACAAGCTGACTGGCTGGTTGGCCGCCTATTATCACCAACGATGATATTCTTAATTGTGGTGGACTGGATTATACGTCAGACTGTGCGTTGAGAGCGAGGAGTCAGGAATACGCTGGACTACCAATAACAAGACTCTGGAAGATCTGGATTTTTCAGATGATATTTGTCTCATGTCATACAAACTCGAAGACTTGCAGGCAAGCGAAAACTGGCACTAGAGGCAGGCAGCCGAGACAGGACTTCAGGTGAACATAAAGTGGAACCCGAATGCGAAGCGGTGAGTTTGTTGGTTGTCGGTGTGAGGGTGACATGGAGGAGGAGGAGAGGAGGAGAAGGAGGTGAAGTGAAGAGGAGATGAAAGCACGTGGGCAGACGTGGAGGCAGATGGAAACGTTTACAGAGAAGGGAATGCAATGGAGACGTGATTCTGAAGTCCAGTGTTGCTCTAGGAATAAAACAGCACACGATAATAATAACATGTGAAAGCTGTACATGTCCACCATCTGGTTCTCAAGAAAGCTGGTCAGATGAATGAAAGACAGATGGAAGACTTTCTTTAGATTTCCCTGATTGTTCGTTGTTGTTTGTGGTTAACTTTCGAGTTACTTCAGTTTTTTGATTCAAATAAACCTCTGTGTTTTAAACAAATACTGAATTCTTTCTTCATTTACATTAAATTTAAACAAATACAGTGAATTTCTAAAAACAAATGTTTTAATGCCTGACGATTTTCAAAATACTAACAAATTATTAGTATTATTCCTTGAAAACAATAAGAATGATTGTAATATACATCGAATGATCGTGCTCTTTGAACAGCAATAATAATGATAATGTTCATTAAAACAAATACTTCAATTGTTGAGTATAGACTGTTCAATGTTCAATTTCGCAACATTTGTGGTCAGTGTGCGAATACTTTGTTCAGGCATATTGACTGATAAGATATAATTTTAAAATAACTGACAGAGTATTATGACTCAAAGCAGTATTTACAGATAAGCCGCTGCAACCAGATGATGATGATGATGATGTTTGCATTTGTTGAATAAGTGACGGAAAATTTCGCAAAAGAATCCCATTTTATAAATTTTAGCAGAGAAAGAACAAACATTGATGGATAATGACATGAATTCATTTCATTTGGGCTTATTCACCAATGTATATAAGCGTATCAGTTTCACAGTCGAAGACACGAAGACACTGATAATTTCCACTTGCTGAGTATAAACTTGGAGAGAAAAAAGTCATGGGACACTCGACATATTGACATATCGTAAAGCAACTTCAACAGCTTCTGCCTAGTCATTTACAAACGAACACTGGTGAGTTTGTCCACCTGATGAATTAGACAATGAACTAATGCTGTTCGGGAATTGCTTGAAAGAGAATGGTTGTCCACAAAGCTAGCTCCATTGACAAATATGACAAGAATGAACACTGGAAACCTGATGTTGGCTACGGTCAACAAGAAGCCAGTTTTCTTCAAACTCGACTTCAAAGGTGATCATACTATGAGAATCATAAATAAAAGATTATGCACAGATTATCCTGCAGCAGAGTTATTCCCTCAGCTCTGAACATTCTTCTCGTTAGTGCAGTCAACAACAATCGACAAGTATTTCTCATATGTTACCTCCAACTGTGTATACCAAATCACATGTATCTGCGGTTGCAGTTACATTGGAAGAACAGAAATAAGGGCCCACGTCAGATTCTTCAAAAATGCACCAAGCAGGTTCCGGTTAAAGCGGCCAAGCAGTTTAAGCTGTTCAATTACCAGACACAGCTCTTAGTGAGCTGTTCTGACTGTGGCAGACCGAGATACGAGTTTTTGATTTGGTTTGTAATGAACAATTGTTTTTTTTTCGCTAACAAATTGTAACACATGTATCGACTGATGGGGATATACTGACCTGTCTACCGTTTTGACACTCAGAAATATTACTACTGAAGTAAGTAATGAATAGGTAGAGTTTAGTGAATGGAGGATATTCGAGTAAAAGTAATGATAAGATTAGGTATCATTTAATAACCCACGAAAAATTAGCGATTCAGCTATGCACTGATAATGATTCTCAAAATATATGAAGAGTGAGAAGTGTACCAACCCCCGTTTAATATAGTCGTTAAGCATTCATTCTTTTGTCACATAGACTGTATATACGAAATTGATAGTTCCATATATGACTTAGACCAAATTTATAGACAACACAGTCTCTAGCTCCATCTTTAACACGACTTCAGTTATGGGCATCAGCAGAATATCAAACGTCCGTGAATCTATTCACTTCTTTGTGTAGTATTTTGTATAGAAACTTTACACTAACTAAGTTGTTCCTCTTGTGCATTAGCTGTGATACGCCTAAAAATGTTACCAAATAGCTTGGACTCTGACAAATATTTAAACATTTTCTATGCAATCTGACATCTGTATGGAAGTGCATTTGGATCTACTTCATGCTCACATCATTTATCTTCATGGAGGATGATGTAATTTATTAGTCACACTTGACTGGAACTTCTGAATTTTATCAAAAGTTTCATCAGTCATCAGGGTGTATTAGAATTCTCGATAATTGAAGGTGTCAACATTTTTAACTACTACGCTGTTTGGAGGAACACCATTTCAGGCCCTTCTGAAAGCAAATTCTAGGCCTGTGAGAGGCTAAACTCATGGAAAGCATTTCTACTTTCCCTTCAGAGTTAGGAGACAGCAAAAGCTGATGAAACTTTGATCCATGTGTACTTCAGGTTAATTTATAGAAGTTCAATGAGGAAATTTGTCCTTTATAACATTATTGAAAAGTGAAATCTCAGCTTTCAGTCAAGAATCTCTCCCATGTTTCCATTATTTTATACACATTCTCTAATATTAAAGCCCATGACTTCCTTCCATATACCCTGGTGGTAAAATACCTCATGACTATGATATGTAAACTACGAAGTTTGGGATCATACTTCATTTCACTATAAACTGAGAAATCGAAAGGGGTGATTTCTCTAACATGCTGATTCACGGTAAGACTGTCTTTATTACACTTCAATCACCTCAAATAGGATAGATGTTTCAGTAATCATTCCTGGATGTAAGCGTGTTAAAGTAACACAGAGGACAAAAGTCTTAGCAAATCCCCACTACAAATGACATCAGGTATTAAGCTTCCATGCAAGTTACATTTAGGTGCTCTTAAGCTGTGTTTGTCTAAAAATAAAACTGTCATCCTTTGAAGTTTCTAAATTCCCATACATAAATCTGAACACATTGATCAGTTGAAATCAGATATATGGGTTTCTTGAATGAATGCTTCGATATTGCCAGGATAAAGAACTCGAAACTACTTGGTTCGATGTGCCTAGCGGTGGAATTCACGGCGTATTTTTAGCAAATCACATTGAGTTGGAGAATCAAAGGAAAATGAACAAACATAAGGAGCAAAGAAGTAGAGCTGATGAGACCCAAGTCGCGGGAAAAGCGTGCTGAAAAATCTACCATGCAAATAACACTACATAGAAAAGTCATTTGTCAAAACAAGTAATTATAAAATATCCGAATCGATGAGTGCACCTAGATATAGTGGAAGCATGAACAGATTTTCTTCCATACAATACAGTTTAAACTGCTCACGGTATCCTTCTCACAAGCAATTTGTATAAGTGGATAATATCTGTAATAGCTGGAGGACATTACAGTCAAACAGCTCGTGGAACATGCAGATATTCAAGAGTGTTCATATTAATCACTAGTCTCTCATAATCTCAGTCTATTTGTTGACCTTCATGATTCCAGTATAACTATTGCTACAATATGATGGGAGAATTAAACCGGTCATCTGATTTACCATAATTTAAGTTAGCAAATCAAAACAGTCAACAAATCAGTTCTGGTGCATATTATTACATGTAACCATTCAGAATCTGCAGAGACTTCATTTGATGATGAAGTTATATATATATATATATATATATACATATATATATATGAAGTACGACTAAGCTGTTCGAAACGATTTAGCCTACATCTTTTGCATGCAGCTATAAGGAAAACACTGAAATTTGTTTTCTGGATAGGGTTATCCAGTCTCCATTACTACCGTGACATCAGTGTCAATTTCCCTTTCTTAACATGTTGTCTAATAAACTATTCAAAGTCATTCAGTTTCTTCTCATTATTATTTTTCTCACCCGTTATCGATCGATCCTTTGATCTCTTGCTATCTGTCAATTGTTTCTAAGTCAATATTCACCACTTAACAAATTAGTTATCAGCCCTCTTGATTACATATGATCGTTCACCACTTTTTAGACAGACTGCTTTCATACACTTCGATTTATTTTGTTAACCTCTGACTTTCCTTATCAAATAATAACGGTGTATGAATAAATCCCAAAATAAATGTATAGCTTTGAAGTGAAGTTACAAAACCAGATCTCTGTCCATATTATGTGACCTTATTCAATTTCTCAATTGGTGATCTGTGTGGAATTTTACAAAAAATATTTTCGACATTAGTCATCAATAG